AGAGCATTTTTGAGTTCATGAGCTCTAATTTCCAAAAATTCAAGAATTCTGGCTCCCACATTACCACAACCATCTGCCAGCAGTTTCTCACCCAGGCCTTGGAGAAGCAGGAGCAATAAACACTTTGGCTTTGCTAATTAAAGCAGGTGTCCAAAACGGGGCTCATCTAATGTGAGCTGGGGAGTCCCATCCAGGTGTGGGAATATCCAGGTATGGAAATACCCAGGTGTGGGAATATCCAGGTGTGGAAATACCCAGGTGTGGAATGTCCAGGTGTGGAATATCCAGGTGTGGAGTGTCCAGGTGTGGAATGTCCAGGTGTGGAATGTCCAGGTGTGAAATATCCAGGTGTGGAATATCCAGGTGTGGAATGTCCAGGTGTGGAGTGTCCAGGTGTGGAATATCCAGGTGTTGCCAGGCTGGGCAGGGCAGGCTCTGCCCTCTCAGCTCAGCAGAGCTCCTGTGAGCAGTCCCAGAACTGGGCCGGGGGTGGGGGATGTGTTTTTTTCTGATCATTCAGACTGACGTGGCTGTACCTGTGTTTAATTAATGCATGCCTGGAGTATTATTCTTAATGAGAGGTTCAATCCACGATCCTGCATCACCTCCCTGGACTGTGGCTGCCCAGAGGGTTTTGTGTCCATCCCTGCAGCCCAGCCTGGCACAGGGGGCTCACATTTGGGGCTGGGGGCTCACAGCCTGGCACAGGGGGCTCTCAGTGGGGCTGGGGGTTTATCCTGGCACAGGGGGCTCACATTTGGGGCTGGGGGCTCAGCCTGGCACCGGGGGCTCTCAGGGCTCTGTCTGTGCAGCTGTGGCCAGCACAGGGGCTCCAGCACAGCCCAGGCTGTTGCTGGGGCAGGGAGGAGAAGCCCAGCAGGGCGAGCTGGGCACAGGAGGAGGCTCCTGTCCCATCCTGGCTCGGTGTGAGGTGATTCTGTGGCTCCTGGGCTCCCCCAGCCCGCCCGGCTCTCACCATCCTGCTGCTCACACTGCAGGCTGCTCCCTCCTCTCCAAATCCCAACTCCACCACATGTTACTTTGAGAAGATCCCTATATAAATATTTTGGCTCATTTAATATGCCTTCTGGTATTTTAACACCAGGTCTCTTTTTCTCCACCATTTGGGGAACTTATTTTTATTCTCAAACAAATGTGATGCTCTTACAGAAGTTCACTTCCAGAACCAAGTGTTTTAGGGAAGATTGCAGGAGTGCTGGTGAAATGACAATGTGCTGGGAGACTCCTGCTGGGAGTGTGTGTGCTGCTGGGGCCTGGCTGAAAATCACACTGCACAGACAAGGCAGACCAGGGAACAGTTCTGGGGTCTGTATTGGGTTGGCAGGTTCAGAATATTTAAATTGCAAACAGTTTGAACTAGAAACTTTAAATTTTAATTTAAATTTCAATTGAATTCAAATCAGATGGCAGCACCCAGGTGTCCCCAGCTGCCCTCAGAAGGGTAAAAAATGGTGTGAGCTTCCTAAAGGGGCTGGAGCAGCCACAGGCTCTGCCTGTTCCCCTTTGTCCCCATTTCTCTCCTCTCCCCAGACCCCTCTGCCTTTGAACACATGGCAGGGCTCAAACCAATGATGTTGCTGCCAACTCTTCCCAGGTTTGTCTCTCACTGAAATTTCCTGCAGATTCTTGATCCCACAAGCAAATAAACCCCTCAGTGCCTGGAATTTGTCACAATTCCTCAGCTCTGCCTGGGTAACTTTACTGAGACAGGGAGCTGAGCAGGGGTGTCCCAGAGCTGGGGAGTCCCTGTGTCCCCCCTTGTCCCCCTGTCCTCTCTGCCCCCACTGTGTCCCCCCTTGTCCCCCTGCCAGCCTTGCCCACCTGGGCACAGTTAATTCGATGCTAATTAGTTAATTAGTGTTTAATCAGAGCCCAAACAGGGCCCAGCTGCTGCCAGGAGCTCCAGCACAGGACAGAAAGGGAGGAGGAGGAGGAGGAGGAGGAAGAAGAAAAACCCAGAGGAGAGGTGAAAGTCATGGGACGGGAAGGAGAAAAGAAGCCTGGAACAGAAATAAATCAAATCAACAACAAAGCCCTAAAGCAGAAGGAGCAGGGAAGGGAATAAAAGGTGAGAGGACGACATAAATGGAGTGGAGTGGATTGAGAGCAGGAGGAAAATGGCTCGAGTGATGATCCCAGGCTGGGAGGTTGTTACAGGCACTCACGTGGAGGTAAATGAGTGTCTGGATACAGAAAATGTCCCTGTGTGCCTCCAGAAAGGGCACCAGATGTGTCTGAGCTGTTGTCTGGGGACACTGTCCCTTCCCAGCCGTGACACCATCCCCACAAAGCTCGGGAGGAAGGGCTGTGCCAGCTCCAGCTGCACAAACTGAACGGAGGGAACTTTGCTCTGAGAGGGAGCCCGGGAGGGCAGGGCTGTGGGAGGGCTCAGTGCCCACCCAGTGGGTGCCCTCCAGAAATCCCAGAGCAGTGAAAATGAAAACGCTGAGATTTCCCAGGGAATGGCAATCTGTAATGTTAGTTCTGAAATATGACAACTTTGTGTTTCTGGGCACGGGCCTTGGGGCACTTGGAGACCTCTCAGAGTGTTTGTGCAGCCCCCTGGCACTGGGGTGGCACTGCCAGACGGGGGGCAGAGGGCTGGGGTGGGATAATGGGATAATGGAATAATGGGATGGGATGATGGGGACAGGGGCCCTGCCCTGTGCCCCCAGGACTGTCTGTGCTGGCCTCTTCATCCCAGGCTCAGCGTTTCCCACTCCAAACACTGCTCAGTGGTGTCTGAGCTGGGGGAGGGTCCCTGTGCCATCTCTCACCATGAAAATTCTTCTCTGGCTTTTGTCAGTCTTGGTTTCCATCCCAGCTCCTCGCTCCTCCCCTGTTTCTCACAGCATCTGTCCTCCTGCACAGGGATTTCCCATTCCCTCCCTGCAGCCTGGCTGCTGGGAAAGAGGGAGAGGAGAAGGGGAAAACTGGGTGGCTGCTGGTTTGTGTGTCAATTATACATCAGAGGCTCTGCTGCTGCTTCAGAAGCTTCTAATAATAATTATTATAATTAGGGCACTGGGAGAGAAATGTGCTGAGATCAGGGAGGAAAGCAGGAAAGCCAGGCCAGAATTAATTAGCCACTTTTATCTAAGAATCTCAAAGCATTTAGACATTAATTAATGAGTGCTGTGTTAAGTCAGCGCCGGGCTCGGGCCCAGCCCCGGGGCTGCTGCAGGAGCGTCCCCAGAACCACTTTGGTCCTTGTGTGCCACC